GTCTTTAAAAATAGTCAGTATCACCGTAAGTTTCTTCTTTTGGAAGCCAGTAAATGTCTAAATGTTTTGGAAGAGTCCAGAGGAGAACTTTGACTTCTAGAAAGACCAAATGAGAAGAAACAGATACAGTCTCCAGGGTTCCATTTATAGTGTAGCTATTCTTAGCAGTATTCCAATCCAGCATGGATTTTTTTCTAGCCTGCAGAAGATATCTTCAAATGCCCAGGGCTGACATTTAGCTTGTACCTATCTGGTATGATTGTATCTTTTTGAAATCACCAGTTGTTAAAATCACTTTTATACCAGTTGGAAATTACCTACTGTCCTGAGCCCCCTGGGATACCAAACCCTTCAACGGTGACACCCTGCCTCCCACAAAAATGTCCTATGATCTTCTAGCAACTAAAGAGTTAGTGCCCAACACAGGATGAGACTCTGACTACACAGAGCCATTTTGATTGGATAGTGGTTAAATATCTTGAATATCATCCTGCAAATAGCACTTGTTTCCAGGTGTGTCAGGTATTATTTTCTGGAAAGCAATCTGACTGTGCTAGCTTCAAGAACGAGAGCATTTACCTCCCTAGGTTTATTTACCTCCATAGGGTGTATTTTCCTTATCTGTCAAATGGTAGAGTGCTTTGGCTTAGTGTTAGGGCTGGGTTCCAGAGTTGCCTCGAGGGGAGACTGCTGATATAGAAATCTGGCCCCACCCCTGCAGAGCAGCTCCTCCTCCAGGCCTGCGCCCTGGGGTCCCCATTTCCTGGGTTGTTTGGAGAAAGGATTTTGAAAAATGGATTTTGCTGCTAAAAAAAATTTGGAAAAAAACCCCACTGACTTCAATGAGCATTAATCTTTCATCCTATTTAAACATTCTAAAATTCAATTATAACTACAATTAACAAAAAGAATGGCATCTATCCACCAAGAGCAAATAGCTATATTAGGCCTACTCAGTACAGGCACTGTTCTAAGTGCTTTGCGTGTTTGAACTCACTTCATCCACAGAACAGTGTCTATGTTATAATTATTGTTACAGTTATTAAAGTCTAAAAAGAGCATATTCAGAGATATTTTCACTTTTATAATTTTCTTAGATACATTTGAGGTTATAATTTATTCAAAGCTAACATTCCTACAATGACTATTTAATGAAATGTAATCATGATATTGTCTTTCTTAAATGCTCCAATTACAGATTCCTATGCCTATTTTAAAGAGCGTTTTGTCTTTAACTTTTGGATTTTATCTTGAAATCATTAGTCTAACAGCGGTAACTATGTATGTACTTTTTCTGTGGCTTATACCAGTGGTCCCCAGCCTTTTTGGCAATAGGGACTGGTCTCATGGGAGACAGTTTTTCTATGGACCAGGTTGGGGGATGGTTATAGGATGATTCAAGCCCTTTACATTTATTGTGTACTTTATTTCTGTTATTACATTGTAATATATAATGGAATAACTATACAACTCACCATAAGGTAGAATCAGTGGGAGACCTGAGCTTGTTTTCCTGCAACTAGATGGTCCCATCTGGGGGTGATGAGAGACAGTGACACTGAAGTGTGTTGTTTATGTCCAGTTTACTCTGTCATCTCATTTTGGTTGCTGTCACTGCAATCTCAGGATATTCTGCCTTGACTTTAATCCAGAACATATGGGAACCTGAAGTTGTCTCAAACATACTTTTAAGGCCACTAGATGCAGCTATACAATTGAAGTACATCAACTTACTTGCCACTATAAAGCCTGCCACCAGATGCAGCTTAATTGTCACTTGCCACTCACTGACAGGATTTTGGTATCAGTCTGCAAGCAATTGATTTATTAAGGTCTCTGTGCAGTCACACCTCTCTGCTAATGTTAATCTGTATTTGCAGCCACTCCCCAGTGATCGCATCACTGCCTCAGCTCCACCTCAGATCATCAGGCATTAGATTCTCACAAGGAGTGTGCAACCTAGATCCCTTGCAATCACAGCTCACAATAGGGTTGGTGCTCCCATGACAATTTAATGCTGCCACTGGTCTGACCAGAGGCGGAGCTCAGGCAGTAATGCAAGCAATGGGGAGTGGCTGTAAATACAGATGAAGCTTCCACTCACCTTGTCCTGTGCAGCCCGGTTCCTCACAGGCCACAGATCTGTACCGCAGGAATGTCTGAAAGATGCAATTGTGTACTGTACCAGTACCAGTCTGTGGTCTGGGGGTTGGGGACCCTTGGCTTATACTGTTTCTTTCTTCACTTTCAACTAGACGTGGAAATCAGTTTTAATGCCAGTCCATGGCTGTGGCTCTGGGTAGCTGTAAATGTGTTCAGACATTTCCTGAGCTCCAGTTCCTGACTGCCAGGGCTTAACTGGGATAAACAGCTGGATGCAAATCAGAGCATGAAATTCCTTGTCACTGTCCTTTTCTGGAACATGGGTTTATGGAAGGCATTGTGGGCTCTGTCCGCTTCCCCCGGCCTCCACTGCTGTGCTTCTGAGGCACTGGGTTGCTTGGCATCAGTGCTTCTCCCTCCCAGGGCCTGGTCCCTGTGCTCCTGGAGGGAGGGATTTGCTGGCCATTGTTCCCAGTTCCCTGGAGCAGCCCAGCTTGGGTCCTTGCTGGTGGATGGCACTGTCTTTTCTCAGTGAGTCCAGCAGAGCTGGGAAATGGAAACTTTATCATGTGAGAGAGTAATGCTGCATGGGATGAAGAGGAGAGGGTTCTGAGGGTTCCTGTTTTGTTTTTTTTTTGAGACAGAGTTTTGCTCATTACCCAGGCTGGAGTGCAATGGCATTATCTCGGCTCACTGCAACCTCCACCTCCTGGGTTCAAGCAATTCTCCTGCTTCAGCCTCCCAAGTAGCTAGAACTACAGGTACATGCCACCGTGCCCAGCTAATTTTTGTATTTTTAGCAGAGATGGGGTTTCACCATGTTGACCAGAATGGTCTCGATCTCTTGACCTCGTGATCCACCTGCCTCGGCCTCCCAAAGTGCTGGGATTATAGGCGTGAGCCACCGCGCCTGGCCTCCTGTGTTTTAATAAAGTGGAAAAGCACAGGAGAGAGGGATTCACTAGGAACAGAACTAGTAAGTGGCAGGCCTAGGAGGCTGTGTGTCAATGAAGAGAAGGAAGACTTCCTGTCCACTGAGGTATCCACATGGAGGCTGCATCCACACCCCCGCTGTATGATAACTCATCAAGGATGACAAATGAATCCAAACAGGATGTATAGCTTGACCAGTGACTTTTATGCAACATTAACCATCCATCTCAGACTTCAACTCTTTTGTCTTAGTGATCCCTCAAATAAACGTTAACTTGTCAGTCTTGATTTGAAGTTAAAAAAAAAAAAAGACCTCATTTCTTGTATCCCTAAAGCAGCAGCCCATTCTGAGATTTTATAGTCTTTTTTTTTTTTAACTAATGTCTTGCTCAGACTTTTTCAATAAATATTGAATTGATTAGAATTAAACTGAATTCTTATATATTTGTATTTGCTCATCTCCTTCTCTGTATGTTTTGGGTAGGGGAGTAGAGTTCAAGCAAAAGGGTAAGAGACGCAGTTGGTTTATTTCAGAAGTCAAAGCCTTATGCTAATGAGGAAGCTTTGTTAAGGGAATTTCAGATCTTGGCCAGTGGCAGTGGTGGGAGCCTATGGGTTAGCATCCTTCTTGGAATCACATTACAGAGGTGGTGAGTGGCCAGTGTGCATGGTTGACCCAGAGTTGAGTGGGGTCTCTTCTGGAGGCTGTCTGCCCAAGCAGCCTGAAGAATCACAGGGACCTTTCTGGTTGATATTAACAGCCCTTTGCCCTTCTCGCCAGAGCTATGCCTGATATGGGCTGAGACAGCTGAAAATACACAATGCATGTTTCACACATTCCTGCTTTAATATGTTAATATCTCGCCCACCCTCCAGACCAGGAATCTGATATCTTGTCCTGCCCTTTTCCACTCAAAAAGAAAACTGCATTACATGTAGAATTTTTCAGTGTAGCTGTTGCTTATCCCATTGTAACTAACCACTTTGACTTCTTTTCTTGTGGGTCTTTCCTTGACACATTTTCTTTATTGAAGACCATTGAAAAATGCATTTCTTTGTGATATTTTGAAAAATGTCAAATCGAAGAGATTTTCATCTCGGGAGACTGAGACTTTATAATACAGAGTACTCCTCTCTCCTAATGGTTAATCCAATCACATAGTTTCACAATAAACAAGAGAAATCTAGATTAATAAGGCAGTATGTATGGAAAAATCCTTTGATTCTTTGTGGCTTCTTTCCCTATGCCTTGAAAATATTCATTAAAAATCTCCTACTTAGTGTGCCTCATTATATTGGTTTGCTTATATTGGTCTCCCTGTGTTAATGATCTGAAGCATAGTTTGAAAGGTTTCTTGTTTGGAATATCCTTGGCCAGGCCGTTACTTTGTAAAGTAGGGAAGTCTGGTGGCCCTAGTTGTTCTTTTGAACTGAATTCATAAAATGATTGTAAAACATAGATCTGTCAGCTTTTCTCTTCTATCAAAATTAATAATTCACATAAAAGCCACCTATATAAATGGAGTCTCAGCTGGGCACGGTGGCTCTTGCCTGTAATCTCAGCACTTTGAGAGGCTGAGGCGGGTGGAATACTTGAGTCCAGGAGTTCCAGATCAGCCTGGTCAACAGGGAAAAACCTGTTTTCTACAAAGAATACAAAAATTAGCCAGACGTGGTGGTGCACACCTGTAGTCTCAGCTACCGGGGAGGCTGAGGTGGGAGGATCGCTTGAGCCTGAGAGTCAGAGGCTGCAGTGAGCCATGATTGTGCCACTGCACTCTAGCCTGGTGACAGAGCCAGACCCTGTCTCTAAATAAACAAACAAACAAATAAATAAATAAAAGGAGTTTCATTGTTAGCAACTTGTACAACCTGGACAAATAAACTGAACTATAAATATTGGCACGTTTGAGTGCACAAAGACCTTCAAAAAGAATTACAATTTCTCTGTAATAACGATCCAGATTATTTAGCTAATGAGGTACCTGGAAGACCTTTAAGATCTGTTCGTGAAAGAAAAGGAAACCCGGCAATTCACAAGACAACTCAGAAGCCCAGCAATTCACAAGACAACTCAGCCCTGTTACATCTGCTCCTGGGGCAGGTAAGAAAATCCAGCTTTTAATTTTGCTCTAAACAGTTAAGGAGATAATCAAGTCAGCTTGGGATTGGGTTGTGCTCAAGAAGGCTGCAAAAAGATTACAAAATAGCCTCCCCCTGGCAGAAATGTAAAAAAGCCATTCCATGATTTTTTTTTTTTCAGTTCTGCCAAGGATTTATCTTCAGAAGACAAGCAGATGAAGAAACAAAACCTACTGGTATGGGGACCCAAGCAGGAACCCGCTTCTTGCACCGGCGACTCAAGTGGGAAGAAGGTAGGAAATCCACAGCACAGGGGAAAGAAAGGGAAAAGGAGTTTGGAAACAGGAGAAGACAGGCTTCTTTTGAATAATGGAGAGGACTCTTAGAAAAAAAGAAAAATAACAGAATAAATTTTTATTCACTGATTCCATTTCAGAGCAGCAAATGTTCTTTGAAAGAAAGTCATTGACTTTAATCAATTGCTTTCTTAGAGAGTTCTGTTCATACGTACATGACAAAATCAGTGGTCATTTAATGACAGACTTAGAATGTGCACTGAGGATGAAGCCATTGATAGTTCCTTGTCTGTCCTCCTTTCAGTAAAAGTCAGGAAGGGGAGAAAGGGAGGGGGTGAGGGTGGGGCAAGGAGAGCAATATCTTATAAAAGTAAAAACATGTTTTGCATCTGATTTTTTTTCCCCCCTGCTGGAGTTTCAAGTGGGTTATCATAAGGAAAGGAAAAACTGGAAATTAACCAAACCTGGTCCAGGCTGGGGATGATGAGTTTAGCAGGGGCTTTAGTGGGACCTCCTAAGCGATTCAGGAGAAAATGAATCTCTCACAGGTTCCCTTCTCATGGGATCACTGACTAAGCTTCCCCAAAGCAGGGTGCAGCAACAAAATCAGGGTGCAGCATCTTTTAAATGGCGTTAAGACCCATTTCAAAGCTCATCACAGCGAGATGTTGCGAAGACAAAGTTTTAGATTTTTAGAGAGTAGAAAATGCTTCCTTTTGAACCCAACAAAAGACAAGATATATGAGATGAGGAAAAAAAGGTTCTGTCTAAAAGCCTGACGTGTGTAAGGAAGACTTTCCTTTCACTGTTGTTTTCCCTTTGGTTTGGTAAGCATGTGGTGAGTGAAGTAAAAAGATAAGGAGAAAAGAACCACAAAGACCCCCTTGAAGGGTAGAACTCTGTTTATTAACAGTGAGAACATTCAGCGGCCTGTGACCCTCCCTTTCCTAGGCCACCTTCCCCAGTGCTTGGCTCTTCCCTGCCTAGATCCGGGTGGTCCAGGCGAGGCCCTGGCTAGGGGGCTGAGGGTGGGGGAGAGACAGCTCTGGGTCCTTCTGTGCCACTCCTCCCTGTGCTGGTGTTTCAGCAGAAATCTGCCCCCCAGCGATGGCAGCCTGTCCACAGCTCTAGTGTCCACAGGCTTGGGAACCCCGTTCCTTCCCCTACAGCGGTGAGGGCTTCCCATTGTGCTCATCTCTGGGTCCCTTGGCCTCTCTGGCTGTATTTTCTTAACTCTGACCACTGCTCTGTAAACAGACCCTTCTTTAAATTCGCCTCAACCCTCTTGAATGGGACTTCCCTTCCATGGGATTCTGACTGATAGAGGGAGGCTAAAAATATCTCAAACCTGATAGAAGCTGAGAGGAGCTGAAATTTCAAGTCACAAAACCTGGATGCTTGCTACTACACAGAGGAGGGCAAACCATTGATTATTTATACAATTTCAGGCAAATAGGCTATAGAAATTCCAGGTACAAAAGATCTGAAGAGATGACTAAAAACCAACTAGGATGAATTATATTAATCGTGGACTTTTAAAACCACCAGAACCACCTGCTGCTAAATTATGAAGTCCAAACAGACTTCAAGAATTGTTCAAAACTAAATAATGTCAACTCTCTAGAATGATTTATTCAGATTTACGTAGGCCAGACTCACAATTTGGAGCACAGCTCTTTAATACATATAGATTTTAATTTTCTAAAAGAGAAACAAAAATTGATTTGTTACTTATTAGAAAATTCATTGCAGGGCGGGTGGGGAGGTGGGAAGAGATAGCATGGGGAGAAATGACAGATACAGGTGAGGGGAAGGAAGGCAGCAAACCACACTGCCATGTGTGTACCTATGCAACAATCTTGCATGTTCTTCACATGTACCCCAAAACCTAAAATGCAATAAAAAAAAAAGAAAATTCATTGCATATTTTAAAAGTAAGAGAACTTCGCTGTCTGCCTGTTCCGAGTCTGAGGTGTAAATGTTTACCTCATCACATATTAAGCATCTATACATTATGTTCAATACTTTTTGCAAAATGTAGCTTAAAGTCACTACTCACAAGAATTTTATGCCCTTAAAATAGACAACAATGTAATTTTAAAAAATGTCAATAAGTCTTCCTAGCTTTTTGTTGTTGTTGTTTTAGCTTTGGTTCTATCCTTTTAGGTAGTGGCTGGCATTATGGATTAGTTTCTTCACAGTTTTGTTCCTTTGGAATTCACTGAGTTGAAATGAATTGAGGATAGAAAGAGAAAGCTGGAGTGAGAGCTAAGAAGCTCTCAGAATATTCTGAAAATGACAGCGCTGCAAAGAAGCCTGAGCGAGTAGAAGAAAATAAAAGGAATGGTGGATACAAGTAAAGGATAAAATGAGGTAGGAACTAATATTATACAGGCACCTGGCGTTAGTATTTATGAATTGTTACTTTCTGGCAATGCCTACTCTTTTGTATCATCTTTGGGACAGAAAATTCCACAAGGAAGACTTTTTCCAGAAAGAGCTTGAATCCAACCTTAGAAGGGCTCAGGGTTTGAACAAAGTGTCTCCTCCAGCACCTTGTGAATAATATGTATATGGTCCATATGACTTCACAAAGTAAAGTTAAACGAACACATTCTTTTGTTGCTCTTAGACCCCATTTATCACACCAGTTGTTGGGGATTTGATTTGAGTGCTCCTTCCCAAGCCCCTTGAGAGTTCTGCACTAACAACACTTCCCCCTAGTGTTCACTCGCTTTAGTGCAACGTTACTTTCAATATGTATACACTGTGTCAGTGTTTTGCTACAGAGAATGTAAGTTATCTTTCTGTAAGTTATTTAGACATTTTATATTATTTATTTATCCCAATAAGATATTAAAGCAAGCTAAACTGGAATGATTTTTTTCTCATAAATGAGAAAAAACAAAAGTTCAGATACTATTAAATAATTCCTGATTTAATAAACAGAGACAAATTACCTAATATTTTTGAGCACCTATTATGTTAGGTATGTAAGAAATACTGTATTAAAAGTGAAGTCTGCGCAAGCCTAATTCAAAGCTTAACTTTTACAGTTAGAAACATTTTGAATATATTTATTAATTTGATCTCAAATTGGGGGAAAATAGTAAAGATGGGAGAGAAAAAAGGGAGAATTTTAAAATTTTACATATCTAAATGGTTTTGTATTATGTTTTAATTAAAAAATATTTTAAATAAGTCCATTCTGATGAGATGTAGAAATTCAACTTGCAGCTTTAGGACAAAGTGAACTTGAAACAAAGGAATTCTACTTGAAATGTGGCTAGTGTGACTGAGGAAGGAGTTTCTAAATTTTCATTTAATTGTAATTAATTTCATTGATTTAAATTTAAAAACTGATACTCAATTCAGTTATTGAAAACTTTTAAATATACTTGTAACAACTTAAGTATCTGAATCTATTTTTTTCAAATGTAAATTTTAAGATATCTATCTAGATTAAATATTTATAATAAAAATTTAGCATTTGTGGCCAGGCACAGTGGCTCACGTGTGTAATCCCACCACTTTGGGAGGCTGAGGTGGGCAGATCACAAGGTCAAGAGATTGAGATCATCCTGGCCAACATGGTGAAACCCCGTGTCTACTAAAAATACAAAAAAAAAAAAAAAAAAAAAAAAAAAAATTTAGCATTTGATACTATAAGTGAAAAATGTAAACCACATTTCAAATGTTTAGTACAAAGCCAAAAGAATGTAATATTTCTCGTTAATAACTGCTATATTTAGTACATGTTGAAATTGATATTTAGATATATTATGTCAAAATGTATTATTAAAATTAATTTTATCATTTAAAAAAATAAAGGCTTTCTAACAGCATAGAAATCATAACTATGTATTCATCTATCTGAAAAAACTGAGACAATCAAGTTTTCACATTATTAAAAATTGAAAATATATCAGTGTTTTCCATAGTGCAGTGCACATACCGCTGGTGATAAATCAGGCAATGCAAACATACAGGCTTTTTATTGTTACACATTATTTGAGCAATAATGAAAATGAAACTGAGATATCTAATCTATGTTTTCACAGATACTGATATTTATGACTACCTTACATATTAATTACAGTGCTCATGTTCATAAATTTTTCATAACTTTGACTCCACCATTAAAATAGATTAGAAATGTAAGTTGCAGAGTTTTCTAAAGCCTGGTTTTTGCTGTTTCTACCCTTCTGGTGTCATTTAACATGTTCCTCTGTCCAGAGTATTTCTTGTAAGTTGTAGTTAGAATTAAGAACAGCGCCATACTGGCCGGGCACGGTGGCTCAAGCCTGTAATCCCAGCACTTTGGGAGGCCGAGGCGGGTGGATCACAAGGTCAAGAGATTGAGACCATCCTGGTCAACGAGGTGAAACCCCGTCTCTACTAAAAATACAAAAAATTAGCTGGGCATGGTGGCGTGTGCCTGTGATCCCAGCTACTCAGGAGGCTGAGGCAGGAGAATTGCCTGAACCCGGGAGGCGGAGGTTGCGGTGAGCCGAGATCGCTTCGTTGCACTCCAGCCTGGGTAACGAGCGAAACTCCGACTCAAAAAAAAAAAAAAAAAAAAAAAAAAAAAGAACAGCGCCATACAATAGAAATATGAGCTACAAATATAATTTTATATTTTATAATACACATTTTTTAAAAGTAAAAACAATTAAAATTAACATTGATAATATAATTTTATTTAACCCAATATGTCAAAAACATTATGTATGCAGTCAATATTAAAAATTATTGAGATAGTTTACATCCTTTTCTCATATTAAGTTTTGCTATCTGGTGTATATTTTACATGTATAGAGCATCTCAATTTGTCCTATCCACATTTCAAATGCTCAGTAGCCACATGGGACTAGTACTGAATGCAGTAGACCCAGGGACATCATTAGATTGAGGTTCAATTTTTGGCAGAAATACCCCATAGGTGGTGATGTGTACCTCCACACAGAAGCACATGTCTGGTGGCCTTTTTGTGAGGTTGGCAGTCATTGATTACCATTATCTACACCCAATAATTCACTAAAGGTTGCACAACAATGATACTAGAATTTTAAAATTCTTTCTTCATTTATTAGATGGAATACTTCTATCAAGAGAAACATCTCATCAACTACATGGTTACTTGGAATAATATGCATAGGGAAGTCAGAACAAATGTTTGATCTCTTCCTTTTATTTGCTAGTTTTTAAAATCATGATTTTGGTTTCCTTGCATTTTCCAAGGATGATCAATAGCATTTTATTTTGACAATATGATTAGGAATTCACGAGTTTTAATATTTGATGTGTTTAAGTTCATTGCAGTTATTACATTTGCTATTGTTCAAATTTTCCCATCTTTGGCCAGAGAACCTCTTTTAACTTAATAGCAGGGTTCTGATATCACCAAAGCAGTTTATGATATGCCACGTCCATCTTGTACACTGCCTTCCACAGACCTGTAATCAGCTATTTCTTCAGGGAACCTTTGATTCCTTTTAGGGGAAAATGGTATGTAGAGAACATTATCTGTGTGTGAAGGGTTGAGCACGTTCTAAATCTTCAGAGAACAATGCTAAAAAACACGGATTTAATAAAATAATATTTATCATGAACTCATGATAATGTTTCCTATTCAAATTCGAGTGGAGGATTTTTTTACAGTCTCCTTTTGCCATGCCAAATTTCAAATTTTATTGACATGAATATAATTATTCATTTACTGTATTCATAATACACACACACACCAGTCCCAAAAAAATCTGACTACCACCAGCAAAATGATTACAAAAATCAGCTTAAGACACTTAGCAGTTGTTTTTGTCCTTATGATAACATTCTGCTAACACAAAGTACTGTGTTTTAAAGTCACTTGGAATAGTGACTTTGGTGCTGTTCTGCCACCTACTGGACAGATGGGCTCAACTGTCTTATTTTACTTTTGATGTTTAGAAATCACTTTATTTTAAATTTAATTTCACTTTATTATATTGCAAAGATGTATATGACTCTAAAGCCAAATTTACAAAACAAGTCTAGTTTTTCTCCTTGTCTCCTCAACCTTATTTCCTTCCTCTACCTTTAAATATTTTATGTGTAAATGCTGTGATTTATATGTCCATTAGTATATTAAGCTATAATTATACAAAATTGATATATATTTGTATATTTTTTATCTCCACTCTCCTCTATTAGATAACTGGGAGCATACTGTACAGACTTTTCTCCACCTGAAAGAAACATATATATTATTATTAAAGTCTTTATTTATATAGTACCCTGGAGTGTTGAATTTTGCTTTGTTAAGTGATCTGGAAATCTTTTTAAAAACTAAATTTAATTGGTAAATTTATTTTTAGGATCCAAATACTTGGCATCACTTGTGTCACATTCGTTACATGTATTTCCATCCACACAAGCATGCAAACATATTCACATCTATACACCTGTGACTACCTCTATCTTTATTGCCTATGTTTCTACTCTTTTCCTATGTGGTCTGTATCAAGGCTGCTCCCTGAGCTGTTTGCTACCAAGCTATGATGGCTTGTAAATAGAAAGTAACAAAACAACAACAACCAAACACCTTTAGAAATATTTAAAATAATTTGATATTGCCACTAGAGTCAAGCATATTTTGTATTTCACAAGTGTCGCTTACAAATTATTGGGGGAAAAAAAGTGGTCCTTCACGACAGAGTCTGAGAAGCACTTGTCTACATGATTTGCTCACGTGCATGTGTTCTGTCTCTCTCCTATTATTTTGTTTTGTGTGTGTTTGAGACAAGGTCTCAATCTGTCATCTAGGCTAAAGTGCAGTGGTGCCATCACAGCTCATTGCAACCTGAAACTTCTGGGCTCAAGGGATTGTCCTGCCTCAGCATTCCGAACAGCTGAGACTACAGGCACATGCTACTGTGCCTGGTTAATTTTTTAAAATTTTTTGGTAGGGAATATGTTCCTCACTTTGCTGCCCAGGCTTGTCTTGAACTTGTGAGCTCAAACAATCCTCTCACCTCAGCCTCCCAAACGACTGGGATTATAAGTGTGGGCCACTGCACCCAGCCTCTTTTTGTATTTAGAAATGTTTGTACTATTTTGTTCTGAGCCCTTTTTTATTAACATCTTCATATAATCTATAATTTTATTAACATCTCTAAATAATAATTTTAATCCCATTTTTGCTTTTTTTCCCCTATCCTGCTATGACCAAAATTGAAATTAGCTAATAACCTCTTCTTCACCTTCTCCCCTGTTCCCCGGCATCTGTTTTCAACAGATACGTTTTTATTCTCCATTGGTATCCTTGAGGAAATCACAGAGCTTATTCTGTTTATACAGTCTTTCCAATTTATGCTCCCTCCCTCATTTTTTGACAGTTAATTGTATATAGAGCAAATGGCCATCACATTTTATACTCTCTCCTTTATAAACTACAGGCACTATGAGTTATCCAAAAAAAATGTATACGTAATGCTCACTGCCAGTCTATTGTTACCTCTTTAGTCATACTGCTTTCCTGAGGCTTGGTCTCCATAAATTTCCCAGAAAAGGCTCACAGGAACATTACTTCCTGAATTCTTGCATGGTTATTAAGAATTGTGACCATGGTACCTAAAGATCAATGTTGCTGGGTATAAAATCTTCAGCTCACATCTGCTCTCTTTAATGTTTCTAAAATATTTTACACCATTGTCTTCTGGCATAAAGCATTGCTGTCAAAAAGTCTGATGACAACCTGATTTTCTTTCTCTTATAAGGGATATTGACCTTTTAACTACTGCCAAAGAGACTTTTTTCTTTTTTAAAGGTCAATAGTTTTACCAGACTATGTTTATATGTAGGCTATTCTGGCCCAATTTCACCAAGTATGTCCTTTCAAATGTTGGACAAGTATTATGTCAGAAAAGTAGTCTTTGAATTATAATTGATAACATTTGTTCTTTCTTTGCATTGATTTTCTTTTTTAGGAACTTCTATTATACGTTCCTTGTTCTCCTATTCCTACTGTCTATGCCTTTTTTTTGTATATATGTTTTAAATCTTTTTATTTTAAAGTTATTTATTCTTTCCTTTTCTATTTTTCTTAAGAAACTTTCTGTGGTGTTCATTCACTATTTTGTTTCTTCCAGTCTAGCCTAAAACTTTGAAATAAGTTTTCCCTCCAAGTCTAATATTTTTCTATTTTTATAAACTCCTTTTCAAGTCTTTGTTTTTTCAAATTAGCTTATTTTTGAGTTTTTAAAATTCAGGGTTATGCTGTCCTTTCAAAGCGGTATGTTTTTTTTCCAGATTGGTGTAAAATATTGGGTTAGAATTTTCTTCTCTTTTGTTTACATATCTTTCTGGCATGCTTTTATTGCCTGCAGAGACATTACATTCCTCAATTCATTTTTCTTTATCATAATTGCAACGGCCATTTTTCCTTTATTGATGTTTACGTGAGATGAGTTTTCTTGTACTCTTAGAAGAGGAGAATGAACTAGGAGAGCTTCCTAGCCCTAGAGATTTAGAGCTGCCTTTTCTATTATTTCTGGATGTGTTACAAATACGTATCTTTTATCTGTTGGTTCTTTGCTCCTCCCTCCACTTGTACCTGCATCTTCTTTCTTTTGCCTCCTCTGCTCCTCTTGTCTTTCTCCTGCTTAATTTGGATTCTATTCCAGTAGTTTCTCCTCAGTGAGAGTTTCTGGCTATTATGGGTCCCTTTAGGGTCCATGGGGTCCAGGCTCTCCAGCACAAGCTAGTTCACCCACAAGTTGGAGGCGTTTGGGCTGCCCTTCCCTTGGTGGGCCACTCGCCCACCAAGCTTCGTGGAGAAACTGTTTTCGCTTCTCTGCTTCTTGGGGCCATCAGAAGGCCCTTTGTCCTCTTTTTATTTCCTCTGACATGCTGAAGACACCATGCAGTTCTTTTATCTCACCAGTAGTTTATTCCAACCCACACATATTTGGAGGTTTATGGGAATGTGTTTTCCCACTGTTTTACTGGAGATCTTTGTCTGTGGGGTTTGCTCTTGTTATCTTAGTTGCTCTGTTTCCATGGGGTGATTGGAGGGATGTGGAAAAATTATGCCATTTCACTACCACTTTCCTAATTACTTTAAGCAACCAAACGTTTAGTCTACTCCTGTTGTACTTCAGTAGTAAGCATCTACTTGCCCGTCTATGCTAACAGGTTTTCTGACACAACGACACAGCTGACCTTTGAATAACACAGTTGCTGCACAGGTCCACTTATAAGTGGATTTGCTTCTGCCTCTTACCCGCTGCCCCCACCCCGAGACAGCAAGATCAGATTCATCTCTTCTTCCTTCTCAGCCTACTCAATGTGAGGATATGGATAAAGACCTTTACGATGATCCACTCCACTTCCACCTAATGAAATATTTTTTCTCTTCATTATGATTTTAATAGTAACACATTTTTTTTTCTCTAGCTTACTTTATGGTAAGAACATAATGTAATATAAATTACATATAACATACAACATATGTGTTCAACAACAAATGTTATTGGTAAGGCTTCCAGTCAATAGTAGATTATTAGTAGTTAAGTTTCTGGAGAGTCAAAAATTAAACACAGAATCGTGACTCTGTGGGGTTGGTTCCCCTAATCACCCACATTGTTTAATCAGCATGGTCATATTGATGTCCATGCACGTTAATACCTGAGCTCTCAATAGGAGAATATGTCCATAGTTCAGTGATCTACTGATGTCTTGCTATACTGCCAGGTCTCTCTCTCTCTCTCTCTCTCTCTCTTTCTCTCTCTCTCCTTATCCCAGTCTGTGAGGACTCTCTGCATGTCTCTTTGTTGCCATTGTCTTGAGTGTTCTGGATGCTGACACAAGGCCAGTTGAATGTGGATTGTCCATCTGAAGTGCTCCTGTGTGATTACCAGACCACTCGGCAGTCACAAACATCTCTCCTTCCTTCCTTTCCCCAACAGGCTTTGAGCCCTGATTCTTCATTGGGGTGGAAGAGGATAAGGCTTAGAAAACTATGACCCCAGTGGAAACATATTAAAATGATGGGGGAATATACTGGGAGGAAACAATAGTTTGATAACAGCTTCCCAGTTGGTTTAATAGACCTCCCCAGGGCTGTAGTTGGATTCTCTGCTCTTGATAGAGAGGGAGAGGGTGCCAAGGAATGGCCATGGATCCAGATCACCTGGGCATCCTCAGGCACAGGCCTGGGAAGTGACTGACTGAGATTTAAGGGATAGGAGAAAAGAGAGAAAAGAAGTCAGGAGCTCAAGGATGTAATTTCTTTTTGGACCCATCTTCTTTTTCAGGGGCTTAACGTCTTTTTTTTTTTTGAAAGGTAACAGATTTATCTTGAAGGTGTTTATAGCAATTCCTGCTTAATGCCCAGCTAAGAAATTCTTTCAACTCTAAACAGAAAACAAAGTATTTGATTTTACAGGTAGAGATAAAAGGTATTGAATGGGAAAATTTGAAAGAGGTGGGGTGAAAGTGTCTCCATCAAAGAAATATTGATGACATCATATCTGTGGCTGATTTAATAGAGGGAGAGAACACAGGAAGGCAGAGGGGCTGGGGAGGAACTGTGAGAGACAGGAGGAAAATTTCCTGGGGGAAGATGGGAGCAGCAAGTGGATGCTGGAAATGGCCATAAACTGCTAATTTCCTAAGTGTGTTTATCTTCATTTGTACACAGGAAAACAAAGGCACAGTGTGGGTATATTAACGGTCTATATGAGTGCCAGGACTGGTATGGCCTCAGGATCTAAGGAAGGAAAATGGTCAGGTATTTGGTAAGTGATTTGAAGGCAGACAAGTGTCAAAGAACTGATGGTCTGACTTGAGTCCTGGTGTATGATGTAAGAGCATAGCAGATTATAATATTCAGCATAATTTCTGAGAAATCCACAGAAACTACAGTGTCCAGGGCATATTAGTAACTGAGGGTCATATAATTAAATAATTCTTGTAGATGGTTCATTTGTAAGTTAGTGGATATTTCTTTTATAAGCAAGAATGTTGTCATTTTGACTTCAGAGAAATAGACAACTTTATATTTCTGAAGCACTTATGTTTTCTCTATTGTGGATGCTGTATCTTCCCTTACTAATGAAGGATCATAGGAATTGAGGTAATGAAACACAGTTCTCCTCTCTATGGTATTCATATGTTTCCCAATGATTGTTTTTCTTTTCCTGTTTTCTAGATATAACAGAGCACATGGTGTAAGTACTGAATAGCTGGAGGAACAGCCATCCCTGAGGTCCTCTGCTTTTCTCCTGCTCTCCCGGGACGTCCCTTCTTCCCAGCTTCCCTTCCGAATTAACCTGTTCTTCACCTGGATGTTAACACTATTTGGCTCCTTTCCCCAGACAAGGTTAGTCTTCCATTTTTAGCCCTCAAATACACATGAATTAGACTACTAGAATATTCACTGATCAATAATGTGAAAAAACAAGAGAGAGAAACCTATGAGTAAGAAGCTGAAAAATAGTGAGTCACCAAAAAGAGGGCATCTCTATTCTATTAATGTCAACTGCACAGTTTATGATAACCAGTGTGTGAGAGATTCAGCCTTCATCCAAATAACGTATGTGAAGCCACACAGAAATTCAAGCTCTAGACAACAAGGTACATTTAAGAGGTTATGATGTCAGTGTTGAGCATTGATTGCTGATAAATTATTGCTCATTGACCTTTTCAGCTTGGGCATTTCTTTCCGTATTATGGTTCCATAAAAATTCAGTTTGGGCCCATAATGGACTCAGAGGGAAAGAGGTGTGTTTGTGTGTGTGTGTGTCTGTGTGTGTGTGTGTGTGTGTATGTGTGTGTGTGTGGTAGAATGTGCTGGATTCGGGAGGCATAGTGGGATGCTGGCATTTTACTTTGAAATTCAGATATACATGCCCAATAACTTGAGGCTTTTATATTTTAATTTAGGATATCTGAGCTCCATTCTTCCCTGACTGCTTCCAACCATGACTTACTGTTCTTAGCGCCGCTGTCATTCAATCAGGAAATCTCTGGATCAGTCCCTCTAGTGGCATTCAGTGGATTCCAGAATAGATTTAGCCTGTTGGGAGCATAATGCATGTTTTAGTCTCCTGGTCACATACAAATGAAATAGGAGGGGGTGACAAAAACAGAAATTTAGGAGCCCTACGACTTGACATCAGACAGACTTCTCAGATGTTTGGATCTCTATTATGTTTGATTACTTAAACCTAAAAAGTCTAAGACTGAATTCAGTTTTTTTCTCTAAATATTTTTCCTTCTAAAATTTCATTGTTGTGTTTTGGTGATACTCTATGCCCCAGCTGCCATGTTTTCCAGATTTTTAAAATATATTTACTCAGTTCAATTATTTATTCAACAAGTATCTGTTCAGTTGGCACCTTGTGTGGGCCACATACTGGGTACTCTGGGATGGAGAGACAGGTGAGTGCCCACCCTCGGGAGTTCACAATGCGGTGGGTCCCTTTCTGCATCCTCTCCCTCCTGTCTCTGATGTCTTTAGTTTCTTCCTTCCCATCCCCATTGCAGCTGCTCTGATAAGGGGCCTTCTCCCTCACACCTGGCCCACAGCAATCAAGCGCTCCATGGTCTCAGAGAGCCTAAAAGCTACAGCTTCAAAATCCAGCTTCTGCTAACCTCTTTCAGCAGTTCTCAACCTTGCTTCTGCATCAAATGCATTGGTAACATTTCTTTGTTTTTTTTTTTTTTTTTTTTTTTTTTTTTTTTTATCTGTCTGTTTTTGACATGGATGCCCAGGAACCCTCCTGTAGAGGGCTTGGTTCATATGTAATCTTGAAATAGTGCCTTCCAAAAAAGAGACAATTGTTCATTCGTTTGCATGTTTAGTTCCTTGCACTTCACTTTTACTGATTAATTGGTATTCCTGTGCCACTCTGTCCCTTCCACTAGACCATGACAGTCCTGAGGCCAAGAAATGCTACCCTACTCAACTTTCTGTAAGTATTAGTTCCTTTTACCCCATCTTTAATGCCTAACGACGGATAGTAGGTTCTGGCTACATCTTCGTTTTATCAAGTATTCTTCTCTTGACATTTTGGTTACCGAGAAAATAGCAGCCATGGGAGACTAGCAAAGCCCCTGCATCCTGTTTGTCTTCTAGGACCAGGGCAGGGCTAAATTGTGTTTGAAAGAACAGAAAATGAGTTGTTCCAATTTTCTCTTACAGAACGTCCAAGAAGCACTTGAAATTCCAGCATTCTCTTCTCCCCATGGGAAGCACCATTTCCTTTCTCATTTCTTCATTCATACTCTCTTTTCCTTGTCCCCAAGAAAGCTACCACCCTATTCTCACCAACCAGTATAAAGTTATTTGTTTCTTGATAAGAACAGAGGTAACTCTAAGAGTGCTACTCCAGCTGCAGAGCTTCACCTGGATGAATTTTTGCAGTTACAGTTGGAGGAGTGGTAATTGTAGTTATCATAAGCAGCGTAACTCATCAAGCCTTTTGAGTCATGTGTCCCTGAAGAAATGAGTACTTCTGTTCCCCTCCCCACCCCTGGGCTTTTTTTTCCTTTTTTCTTTTTTTGAGGCAGGGTCTTGCTCTGTTGCCCAGGCTGGAGTACAGTGGCATGATCACGGCTCACTGCTTCCTTGACTCCCAGTGTTCAAGTGGTCCTCCTACCTCACCCTCTCAAATAGCTGAGACTACAGGGACCTACCACCATGCCTGGCTAATTTTTTAAATTTTTCTGTAGATACTGGTTCTCACTCTGTTCCCCAGGCTGATCTTGCACTCCTACCCCAGTCTCCTGAAGTTCTGGGATGACAGGTGTGAGCCACTGCACCCAGACGATTTCATAGAACAATGCAGTGTTCTATGAAGTGCAATGTTTAGCTGAATAAGAAACATACAGTAATTGTATAGAAATAGGGCTGTGGTGAGGAGCGAATGGGATAGCACAGGTTAAAGCTATCAATATAGCACCTGGCCCATGCTAAGCACTCAATACAAGAATAATCCCGGTAACACGTATTATCTTCATCATAGTCAGATAGACATTGCAAAAAGAGTCCCTGGGAATAATGATGGGCTCTGGAGGTGAGAGGGAGCCTAGGTTAGAGGCACGGCTTCTTGCTCCTGGAGCAGCTCCAGGCAGCGCTGACCGGAATGGTTGAATAGCCAAGGACTGAAGAGTGGTTGAAGAGTGAATGACCCTGAAGGGAGCATTTGGGTTCCAATCCTTACATTTCCCCTTGTGCTGTTTTGCTACTTCCTTAAAAATCATTTCGTTGCTGGTCAGGTGCGGTGGCTCATGCCTGGAATCCTAGCACTTTGGGAGACAGAGGAGGGCTGATCACCTGAGGTCAGGAGTTCAAGACCAGCCTGGCCAACATGGTGAGACCCTGTCCCTACAACAAGTTACAAAAACTAGCTGGGTGTGGTGGCAGGCACCTGTAATCCCAGCTATTCAGGAGGCTGAGGCAGGAGAATCACTTGCACCTGGGAGGCGGAAGTTGTAGTGAGCCGAGATCGTGCCATTGCGCTCCAGCCTGAGTGACAGAGCAAGACTCCGTCTGAAAAAAACAAAAAAACAAAAAAACAAAACCATTTCATTGCTGTGAGGCATCAGAATAAAACCCTAAAGTTTTCTTAAAAGGAAAAATGTGTGTGTGTATTGGTTTGCTATTTGGTCACGCCATGGTGACTCATCTCAAGGATTTACAAATACTTACTATGCAAACCCTATGGATCCTAGTCAGCATTCCCTCAGAAACTCAACCTGTCGATATTTTTAGGTTGAGTTTGCTTCCTATTAGTTTGCATGTAAGAGTGGTCCCCCTTTCTGCTGCTGCTTTTTCTGTCAATGGCAAGCTAAAAATCCACATTTGGAAAATATGACTGTTCATTTGCTGAATTATCACATTTTTAAAAACTAGAATCAGTCACTAACAAACCCTGCTGGGCTTTTTCCTCTGTCTGGAAAAAAATCCCACCCACTAGGATTTTTCCACTGAACTTTATACATACAGTAGCCCCTCTCTTATCCATGGAAGATACATTCCAATATCCCCAGTGGATGCCTGATGCCCCAAACAGAGCCAAACCCTGTATGTAAACATATAAATACACACACACACACACACACACGCACACACACCCCAAGTAACAACAAAGTTATCATGTCCAGCTATTCTGTAAAATCAATATCAACTTGTCATCTCTTTGTAAAATTGTACACCTAGTTATATTTTTTCAGATACAGTTAAACAAAAAATACCTATTTTCACAAGGCATTTGTATGCCATTTAGTTACTATCTTTGAATCCAAGCAGGAAGACTTAGCAAAGGCCCTGTACAGAAAGCTGTTGTGTCTTGTTTCAGGCTACAATTTATTTTTAAAATCAGATTTCTCAAAGACAGGCACAGCAGTTGGATACAAATGGCTTCTGAAGATACATCACATCTGTCCAAGAATGAAAATCATTTTTCATGCCCAGAAATTTTGAACTTTCCAAATTACTCTGTCAAAGCGTTTTATTCTCATGCAATGAAAGGCAGAAAAACCAAAACCAGTGATGGGGAAAAAAGTAACACTTCCTTCCTATACAATTACCATACGCTTTTGATTCAGGTAGTTCAGTACTCATTATGTTGCTTTTTGGGATTCTTCCTTCCTTTTCTGACTTTTGAGCCAATGCGCACAACAGGAACTGGATTATTCAAAGGCAGAAGAAGAAGAAATGCTGATGAAGCCTTGCTACAGGACGTGGGAAGGGAGTGACAGCCACTGAGTCTCTTTAGACTCCACTGACGCTCCAGACTCCTCTTGACTTCTGACCCTGCCTGTGAATGAACGGCTGCGGATCATTAGGTTGCTGCTTCCCTGTCTGGCATTGCTAATCTTGTATGAACAGCATTAACTACAGAAAGCATTCATTGAGATCCATGCTTCTTACTGTACTGCAGCTGATACTGGGACAACCACCACAGCAGCAGCAAACATTGCCTCGCTGTTACGTATTTGTTTATTCAATCACTTCCTCATTCACTCAATCAGCAATATTGTGGAATGTGCCTCTTAGATATTGGAGATAGGAAGGAGCAAGAAGGTGGGGTGCTTTCCCTGGTTAACTTATAGTCTCCTGGAGGACATATATTACAACATGCCCTCGGCGGGATAGGGTTCTCTTCCTCATTTGTTCCGTTATTTCCTTCCTCTCCTCATTCCGTCGCAAGTGGAAAATTTCAGCATAGTAACAAATGGAAGTTATGCCATGAGTAGGATTCATGTTCCCATGGTAGAGGTGGGTTTGTTTAGTAGTTGTTTCAAGTTGAAGAATGACAGCGTCCACTACCCTCCCAGGAGGAGGAACCTTTAGGTCAGGGAATGAGTCCCCTCATCGGACCACAAGGAACAGCAACAGGATGGGGCTGGATCATGCATGGACAGGGAGGGAGAAGAGCTCCAAGGGTTAGAAGGATTTTTAGATTCCCATACCTGGCTGACTTTCTAAAGACTGAAGATGTAAAAAGGGCAAGTAATGATCTGCACTACTTGCAAGATCATGCGAGTTCTGTTCTAGAACTTGAGCACTTCTATAATCCACCAGGAACACATTTGTCTTGTTTTCTTGTAACAGACTCTACCTACCACAGGATATGATGCAGGGTTACACACCATTTCTCTAAATATCCTATTGGGGTGAAAGTTTGTAAGCAGCTGATTCTTAATCTGATTTCACTTTGATTGCCACATAGTTTAGCGTAGTGTTTGCTTAAGAAGCTGGCGAAGAAAAATCAAAGTAAAATCCGATTAAGAATCATCAGGGTTTTTGGGTACGGTGGCTCATGCCTGTAATCTCAGCTCTTTAGGAGGCTGAGATAGGAGGATCACCTGAGGCTCTGAATTCGAGACCAGTCTGAACAACATGGCAAGACCCTGCCTTTACAAAAAAATTAAAAAATTAGCTAGGTGTGGTGGCACAGGCCTGTGGTCTCAGCTACTTGGGAGGGCGAGGTTGGGGGAACGCTTGAGCCTCAGAGGCCAAGGCTGCAGTGAGCCGTGATCGCATCACTGAACTCCAGCCTGAGTGACAGTGAGATTGTCTCTAAAAATAGATAAATAAAATTTAAGAAGATAAAGACTCATTAGGGCACTTACGGTAGTTATGAGAAGGCAAACCATTCTACATTGGATTAGGTTTAGCTATTTACAATACAAAACACAAACTAACAGTGGCCGCAACATAGACAGGCAACCCTCAGGAAAAGCTGCCCAGAGCTGGGCAGTTAGGTGCTGGTATTTTGGTTCTTTGCTAGCCACGGGCCTAGCTGCCTACTGTCTGTCTTTATGCTCTTCTTTTCTAGACCTAGCCTCCAAATTTAAGGTCACCTCATGTTCCAAGACAGCTGCTGGAGTGCCAGCCTTCAAGCACAAGGCCAAAAGAAGAAGGAATGAAGCATTTGAGGCAACGAAAAGCACAGGAATCATACAATTGTGCGGAATGTATATATTTTTTGCATTCAACTTTATTTATTAAATTTTCAATGCTATCTGTCCTTTCAGGGGTTGGTCCTTAGCTCCTCTATTCTTCTCATAAGAATGGAGGTGGGGATGCTACTACTTCAAGATCCACACCTTTCTCCAATCCCTTTATTTTCATTAATGAATTAGCTTATTCATCAAGTGTCTACTGAGCACCTATTTATCATAGGCCCTCGGCTAGTCATCGGAACCACAAGGATGAAGAAAAAAATCCTGCTGGCCCCGCACAATGCCTTACACCTGTAATCCCAGCAATTCGGGAGGCCAAGGCAGGTGGATCACCTGAGGTCAGGAATTCGAGACAAGCCTGACCAACATGGTGAAACCCTGTCTCTACCAAAAATACAAAAACTAGCCAGGTGTGATGGCATGTGCCTGTAATCCCACCTACTTTGGAGGCTGAGGCAGGAGAATTGCTTGAACCCAGGAGGCAGAAGTTGCAGTGAGCCAAGATCATGCCACTACACATCAGCCTGGGTGACAGAGTGAGACTCCGTCCTCCCCCCGCCAAAAAAATCCCTGCCATCAGACACTCTCTGTCTAGTTATAAAGAGGTTGTGAGCACAGTGACCCCACTTTTATAAGTGTCACCAGAGGGGAGAGGGCATGGGCAAAAAAGCCTCAAAGGGAATGCAGCCAGGCTTTTCCGAAGTGCGAGAAGCCTTTCTAGAAGACTTGATGTAGGTAGGAGACTGTTTAGAAACTCTTGATTGTCAAGGGGATGTACGTATTTCAGACAGAGCAATAGTACCTACGGGGCAGCAATAAATGAAAGAGCCAATAGTCTGGGATGAATGGAGTGTAGAATGTGGTGGTAGAGAGGATGCTGCTAACAGACCTCTGGGCCGGGCGTAGTGGCTCATGCCTATAATCCCAGCACTTTGGGAGACTGAGCTGGGAGGATTGCTTGAGTTCAGGAGTTCGAGACCAGCCTGGTCAACATAGTGAGACCTTGTCTCTACCAAAAAAATAAAAATAAAAAAATTAGCTGGACATGATGATGCACACCTGTAGTCTCAGCTACTAGAGAGGCTGAG